TGAATACGCTCAGTTTGTGAGACCGCATATATAACTACAATGAGTCAATAAATAATTTATCGTAATGTTTTATAGAAACGAATAAGAATTGTTTCAAAAGATTCTGAATCATTGACATTGACTCCACCTTTTAAAAATGCAAGCACTTGATGCAATGTAAGTCGAAAAAGTTTCTGGATTATAAAATATCTGCTTTATGACATACGTTCCTTACCTACTGATATTTTTTCAAGATATTTTTTATTTTAAGATTTTAGTGTCATCATATTATCATTGACAAAGAATCAGTATGCATTACCAAAGTTTTTTGAATGACATCAATTGATAACAATTCTTGGATTATTCAAAAGAAAAATATTTATAAATTATAAAACTAATTTCTAGATGTTTTTTTTAAAAATCCAAACTTGTTTGGAAGAATTATATTGATTGATTGTATACTAGTATTGATTAACGTCCATTTCGAAAATGTTTCACTCATATACAGAAGTCACTGTATGCTGGTGAAGGGCTTCAAATTTAGACATATACTCAACACTCAGGGCCATTGGGCTGTGAGGATTCTTTATCGTGTCAACGCCTACCGTGACACAGAACCTACGTTTTTAAGGTCATATCCGAAAGACACTTGACTTTCACTTCTAATGCCGAGCGCTCGGCGAAGGAAAAGTCACTTCCCATGTTTTCGTCTTATGTTATGGCGCTACGAACTGGAGTCGAACCCGGTCCTTCCGATCATGACGCGAATGCTCTACCGCTAGGTTACCGTGACCGATTGGAAGAAGTGTAAAAAGGCCATATATACACATTTAAATGAGGCGTTTAACAACATATAAACTACATTGTAACTGTTTGGCCATTATTTAAACACTGAATTTTCCACGGATTTTTCTATTGTTTATCAAACATAAGAAGGAAAACAAACGGTGTTAGGGGATACTTGCTCATCCAACCCCTGATGTTTTAGATGTCCGTGTTTGCTCTCCTCCTCATTTGTATCCTTGGAATGAGCTTCTGAGTTTCAATACTGTTAGTCATTTCTATATATTTCACATTGAAATTCTATTATACTGTACATGTTGCAAAATTAGGCGACGTGTAATTGTATTTGTGACCTAACAAAGTTTATCTCTCTCTAAGAAAAAAATATTTAGAATTCATTCTTCCTTAAAGTACAATTGACACATACTGCCAACATTGAATTGCTACATGGGTAGTTTGTGTTTTTAAAAGTTTTTCAGGGTTATATAATGTTTCCCCATGCCCGAGAAAACTGTTGTATAGTGTGTATGCAAAATCACGTCGTGCCCGGTTGGGTTTACACAATATTGAAACCTTATGTCGATATTATACATTATTATCTGGATTCAGGAGTATATGAGAAACGAGGGTAGAAAAACAATATAATAATATCTTCCTGACATTGACTATGTTTCAGAATGCTAGTTTGAATGATTGATTTTGTCAAATTTTTTGATTTAATTCATTCTTTTCTTTTAATTTAATTAAATCTTTGATTATTTAATTTTGTTTAATGAAATTAAATCCTAATAACTCTTTTCATAAAACATTATTGAATTATTACTTAATTTTCGTTTCGAGTTTCAACATCCCTCTACACACCTGACACAGTTTTCACCTGTACTGAGACCAAAACTGAAATCTGATATGCCAAAATAAGTCTTACAAAACATAAACATTTTACTACTCTATCCTCCTCCTATGATGTCACTAAAAAACCCGTAAAATAAAAAAAAGTATATGACACACCTTACATCCGATTGGTTGATTTAAGCCTCATTTATCTATAAATTTTCCACTTTAAGTATTTTTATTTAATTTTGAAAAATGTTAAAGTGGATCCCCTTTATCTTTTGGACTGTGTTTTGTATTTCATCATTTGTTCAGTAAGTATACGTGAAAATCTCAATATATTCATGTACAATTTTTTAAATTTGTTTTTGTATTTTTAATTCTTTTTCTCGTAATTCATAATTTACAATCGATAAAAGTAAAATGGTTAACAACTTGTAACTAAACATAGATGACATTTCCGGAAGGAAAATACTTATCTGTTGGGGAAAACAAGTCCCTTTCTTTTTAGCCAAAAATAAATCTTAGAAATGCAATGAAGTTTAACAAGTCGTGATTGGATCTTATGATGAAATGGACAGGTAGAAAACTTACATTGCAGTTATATGACAAAGACAGTTAAAAGCAAATGCATGAGCATAAAGTAACACTTTACATTTATTACATGAGTTTGAGGGAGAGATGAAGATGTCTTAGCCCCTGAAAAATCATATTCCTCAAGGGCAACGCCCTCGTGGAATTTGGTTTTTCATGGGCGAAGACATCTTCAAGTCTCCCGAACATTCATGAAACATATGCAGAAAACGAACAGTATTCAAGATCAAAAATACAATACACAATAGGAGCAGAGCAAACACGGACCTAAAACATCAGGGGTGCGATCAGATGCCATGGAGTGGGCATCCCCTGCCCACCGGTCACACCCGCCGTGTGCTCCTTGTTATGATAGGGAAATAAGGTGAAAATCCTTCGTCAATTCAGTGTATAAATAATGGACTAACATTTACTATGAAAAACTTCAACTGGCATTAAAACTATTGAATTATAGATTATATTCAATGATAGATTGTATTTACTGACAAGGCCATTGTATAGACCATAGAAGATACGAAATGATGACTTAAAACGAGAATCCTGAAAGTCTGGTTTGTCAATAATTTATTTTATTTAAGTAGAGCTTGCTCTGGTATATCGAATCAACAGAGATATATTAACTCCGTATACAGGTGATGAAGGTATATTGCTGCATAATTAAGGGAAATTGATGACAGAAAATTCAGATAATCTAGTTTATCATAGAGCTTCCTTGTTAAAGTCTTTTTCAAGTAAAATATTCAAATATTAACAAATATGAAACAGATGGGTCAAACTCTGTGGTATCTTTTATCTCAAGCTCACCAGGATATATGTATCGACATAAGAATGGAAATTGCCATCGTTAATTGACAATACGTCGTCGATACATGTATATCTAAATGTCCAGTTCATGCAATAAATTCTTAATTACATACCAGTAACACTCATTTCCCAAGCATGGAAACACTTTTCTAATTACTTATATTTAAAAACAATATCCTTTATACCAGTAATTGAAATAAACAGTCCAGACCCAAGGTATGTTATGATTTTAAAATTTAATAACTAATATTTCTAAGAAATTCTCGCATTTTTCTATTCAATAAGCATTATTTTCTAATAATTTAAAAATCCAGTCTTGGAATAGTTAAAAAAATGCACCTGTTTATTTTATAGACATTCTTTTAGTATCAAACAAACAGTACTTTTATCGCCAACTACACGTAGAAATACTGATACATGTACACTGCCAAGCGATTTCACGCATGTTAATTCTTAGAATTCCAATTCACTATACCATTAATTTGCAAAAAATCAAAACAGAATGTAACCACTAACATAACGTCGACGAAAGCGATATGAAACATGAAACTTTTCAACAATTTCAACATTTCGAAAAGCCCGCGCTATTGAAAATAGTTCGCTTACAATATACATTCAGCAGGGTATGTGCACAAATCGCAATGGGACTATACTATTTTGTTCATCGGAAGCGTATACTTATACGCTGTTTGGTTTTTTGTTAACGGTGCTATTTATAGGAAGGCAATCGATCATGATGCCTATAGCCAGGACTTTGCTTTCAGCAAAGCCCGGCTAAAAAATCATTCAACCCCCAGTGGTAAATTGTTTTCAAATAATCAGTTGACGACTTCTTGCCTGCTAGCTGACATTTTCGTATTAGTTTATGCAATCCAAAACTTTCCTAACTTATGTAGCAATATACCTATCACCTACATGTACATATGTATGGGGTATTTATTAGTATTTCCCAGTTGATTCGTATTGCTAGAGGTATGCTTCTACGACCGAAATTTTTTCTACGACAAGGTAAGCTATTGACAGAAAAGTTGACGAAACAAACCGTTTTTGAAGGGGCAAAATTTCTCTGAAATTTATTCTTTACTCTCTAAAAACTATCTGCTTAACTGGAGTTTGCTAATTTGCAAAGATTTTAGTATTTACGATCTTAGAGCTGCAATGCCAACCCTTGAAAAATATTTATTGCACACACAAAGTATGCTGTTTTTAGATTTATTTCTTCGCATATTTAAATATTTTACTAACAGTATGTTTCTTTTTTACTTCTTCCACAAAAAACTGTATTAAGTTTTCATGTAGGAAAATGATATTATTCATTAGCGAAACTTCCAAAGGTTTCAAGATCATTCCCAAAAGGACTATTCAAAGCGGTGTGGGAAGATATTTTAGTGTAGAAAAGAATATATAACGATAATGTAAATATTTATTTCTAGAAAAGAAAATTATTTTAAAATTGAAATTGATTACAGCAAAGCTATGGCATGTCAAACGTTGCAATATTTGATAATCTTGTGATGTATATTCAAAATCTTGTGATGTATATTCGAAATCTTGTGATGTATATTCAAAATCTTGTGATGTATATTCAAAGTCTTGTGATGTATGTTCGAAATCTTGTGATGTATATTCAAAATCTTGTGATGTATATTCAAAATCTTGTGATGTATGTTCGAAATCTTGTGATGTATATTCAAAATCTTGTGATGTATGTTCAAAATCTTGTGATGTATGTTCGAAATCTTGTGATGTATATTCTTAAACTTGTGATGTATATTCTATAATCTTGTGATGTATGTTCGAAATCTTGTGATGTATATTCGAAATCTTGTGATGTATGTTTGATAATCTTGTGATGTATATTCGAAATCTTGTGATGTATGTTCGATATCTTGTGATGTATATTCGAAATCTTGTGATGTATATTCTATAATCTTGTGATGTATGTTCGAAATCTTGTGATGTATATTCGAAATCTTGTGATTTATGTTTGATAATCTTGTGATGTATATTCGAAATCTTGTGATGTATGTTCGAAATCTTGTGATGTATATTCAATATCTTGTGATGTATATTCGAAATCTTGTGATGTATATTCTATAATCTTGTGATGTATGTTCGAAATCTTGTGATGTATATTCGAAATCTTGTGATGTATGTTTGATAATCTTGTGATGTATATTCGAAATCTTGTGATGTATATTCGAAATCTTGTGATGTATGTTTGATAATCTTGTGATGTGTGTTCTACAATTCAGTGATGCGTGCAATAAAATTGCATGACGCAACAGAAAAGTAAGGACAATTTTCATTGGTTAGAAATAACGAAAGTAGCCGGAGCGGTCGTAATGCACACATTGACACAACTTCGCAAGCATGAAATTGACGAATTCAACCTAAAGTCAAAATTATAGGTAATAGAAAAATTGTTTTGGTATCAAGGAGCACTAAGTCAGTCATAATGTGAAAAGTGGGAATCAAGAACATTAATTTGATTTGTTTGTAGGTACATCAAAAACAATTTAGTGGCTTATTGCTGGACTAAACAGCTAAAGGATGTTTTATCCTATTTTTACGTCCTCATATTGTAGTGATGTTGATTAATCGGTATGATTTATTCTATATTGGTGCTAGTTAGAATAATCTAACTGTGTCTCGGGACAAACTCTCACCACGCAGGGTTCGAAATTGCATGGCCCATTGCAGCTGCATTGACCGTAGCCATAGTCCAGGGACGACTTTGCAATAAATATACTGAAAGGAAAAAGAAACGCAGGGTAAACTTTTGAGGTGATTTAAATTTGTTTTTCTTAAAATATGTTTTAGTTTTTATATCTAACTTTTTAAATCATCTTTCAAAAAGATATAACCAAATTCCCATTTGATTTTGTCAAATAATTCATGACTTACTGAAGCTCAAATGACGATACCCCCCAAAAGTGAAAATCGAAAACTCTCATTATCTTCAATGTCTCTCCCGTTCATCTGTCAGAGCCTTATTTCTCCTTTGCATGGAATTTCATTAGAGTGTTTAACTTTCAGACCCTGGCTATATTTAGCATGGGTAACCACGCAAAAAAAAAAAATAGGTCAAACGGCGCGCGCATGCGCCAGTGAGAGGAATGAAACAGTAAGTTGACTGGCTCAAAAAATCAAATTGCAGAATTGTTTTTTTTCAAATTTTGTATGAATGTAATGATTATAATCATCTACTGTATAAATGGCTGTTTTTGTGGTAGTAAGGTAGCGATTTAAGAGATGGCAGGACGAATAACCAGTTCGTTACATGGCTCTGTTTCGCGTTAACGTCATCGTCACGGTTGATTGAAAACCATTCCAGGCCCTCTCTGACAACGGGTAACAAGTTTTATGGGGGAAAATTTACAAGAAACTGCTTAGTAAACCGTTGTTGCCTTTTTCATTAATTAGGCAATTCGAAAACAACACCCCATTGAGCTTCCGTAAACTGTGCCCAAATTGCAAGAAATTCATAATGTCTCTTAATATTGAAAAACGATGTGCATACCTCATATGCATCAAACAATGCAACAAGATTAGTTGACAAACTCGTCGTTATCAAATTGCACGTGATTTGGGCTTTTTAGCGTTTTCCCTACGTGACGTCACAAATTTTTACGGTTGAGTAATTCTGAATGCTGATTTTGGTGTACAGTAACTAAATTTCTCTTCTGACCAATTTTCGTAATTTTCGGTCATGTGGTCAAAATGTTTTCGAACATTATGCTACCCTGCGTTTCTTTTTCCTTTCAGTATAAATAAATAACACGACAAATTTTTAGGAGAAGGGGAATGTCTGGAAAAGATTAATTGCTATGCATCATTGAATATTGTCATTCACAAATTTGTCCAATTATTTTTATAGTAAATGTATTGAGCCGGGCTCATTTACAGGATAATGAATAAGGACTGTGGTGACAGTTTAAAATCACGTTCAGACGTTTAGAGAATATGTAATACACACAAAAATATCTCAATGGCATGTATAATATATTAAATAGATTTAAAAATAAAATAAAATATAGCTAGAAATAAACAGCTAAAAATATTTATCACGTATTGTGTCGGGGTAATCCGGCTTTATATACAAACAGAAGTAAATAAACACCGATGCAGCAAGATTAAGGTCAAACGTCTCTGCACTGATGTGTCCTCAGCGGGGAGATTTGCATTAAGTCATTAATAATGTTCCCTGCATTTGTGTTAGCCTGATAGTACAACCTTTATTTATAGAATCAATCTAATTCAAATTAGATGTTAGATCTGCTTGCATACTCGCTACACTAACATCTAACAACATCCCGTTGAGGGTCACGTCAGAGGTCAAATTCTATCAATTAATCAAATCGCAGCTGGCAAAATCATCATATATTGTTGAAGCGAATAAATCTTGAGGCGTTCCGAATTTAACCTCTTACGTGACCCTCAATGGGATGACTTGTTAGATGTTAGTGTGGCGAGTATGCGAGCAGATCTAACATCTAATTTTAATTATATTGTTTATAGAATAAGATGCAGACAGGGATACCTGGTGAAAACCTTTCGCACCCGTTGAATTATACTTTGTAAAATATTAGTCAAAGGAGCCAGGAAAAAATATTAAACAATGTAATATTATGATAAAAATATTCAATTTACTATTTCTTAAGGTGTTGAATGGATTTTGTTTTCTCAACAGCGGCTGGTGCACGTACCATACTTTTACTCGTAAACTCAATTTGGCGGTGAAGAAGCAGCATTTTCTGTTGCTCACCGTCGCAATAGCTGAGCATTGCTCTACGAGCAATGTGCCCGGCTAAAAATCATAATATTTGTAATGATATATCATATTCTAGACTTGACATACAATAAACAATGATAAGAATTATTGTTGCATATCTGCAGTGATTTTCTTTGATCTTTCTGTGGTGATAATTTATCCCATAATATCACATGTGTGATAATACTTTCCAAACATGTTTCAAAGTTTTTACACTCTTTATCATACAGTTTTAAAGAACAGTTTTATGAGCTCATAAGTATATTAAATGGTTAATTTATCAAAACCTGCATTTAAAAATTCAGAAGTCATAAGTTAAACCAAATTGTCCAGGGTATTCTTAGTAAGGTATGTCAAAGGTCATGGTTAAGTGACTTTGTAAGGCTGGTATTTTTTCTTTTGTTTTATGGCAATCAGTGCACATGGTAAATAGCATAAAATTACCCTTAAAGGTCTTATGCAAGGAGATACTGTAGATCACTTAATTTTCGCGACACCTTATTTTCGCGAGATAGTCATTGACTCTTTATTAGCGAGACAAAATTTTCACGAATTGTGGTTAATACTCTATATAATCTTAAGGAAATGTATTATACGCGAGAATGAAATTTTTGCGAGCATACCGTCTCGCGTAATAACGCGAAAATAAAGTTCTCGCGAATAAAAAGTGATTTACAGTAGCTAATTAAAATGAACAAATGTAGTTTTATGTATGATGTATATAGAGACAATAATATTTCTTTTCTTTTTTTCATTTTCAGGAACTTTACGTAGGTCTACAGTTTTAATTTTGGACTCATGCACTAGGAATATCATATCAGCAGAATTGTGCCACTGAATCAAAGGGAACTCTTTTTTTTTAGGTACGCATGATCGATGTAACTTCCTCGATGGTGTGTTGGCTGTTTGCCCATGTGTATTTCGGGGTATAGGTATGTTTAGTCTCAATTTTCTTTCTTAAAAGCCGCTTAAGGGGTATATTTTTTCTGATCTCAAATTTTGTCTAAGCATTAATCTTTTTTCTCATTCATGAATTATCTGCTGATCAGAGTCTAGTTAATTAATTTATTTAATTAAAGCTATATAGTAACATATAGTGAAATTATTTCCTTGTGTGAGACCTAAAGAAAATCAGGTTACTCATTTTTATGACAATTTCTTTGATTTCAGGAGTAGCCTCCCCTTTTAAAGATCAAAAATGGTGATTTTACAGTGCGGCATGCAGTCTGGTCTTCAACGAAGAGTTTTGACACCTGTAATACCCATATTTCTACCATTCACCTCTGTAACCTTTGTTGAGTTCATCAGACTGGTAAGAAAAACAATATTGTTAATTGAAATAATTTTATCAAGATAAATAAAATAATTAATGAAAAAAAAATTACATGAACACTGACTCCCTCATATAAGAAAATGTCACATTTTACACATTGCAATTATACATCATTTACATATTCACATTTTCCCCATTTACACATGCAGTTGAATAGATTTAGTGCTTAATAATACATAGCAACAATAATTACACGAATCCTAAGACAATTCACAAAATACATGAATGCATTAAACTGTGAAATACAGATTTCGTACATTTAATTAAAATGCACAGCATCAGAACCCCCCCCCCCCCCTCACAATCTTGCAACTTTCTTTTTAATTCAAAGTCACTAGGCAACACTAAAGATTTCCACTTATTGCTTTTCTGTCCAAGACAGGAAGTTGAGGAACAAAGTTGACAGGACATCCTGAACTGTCTTCGCTACCAGCTTATGAGGGAACCAGCTGCAGTGGACAAAGTATGTTACATCATAGGATAATAGGTAAGTCTCCGGAGTAGTGTTTGTAGCAATTCTCGTACTTGGTCCTGCTTCGAAGATTCAGGACTATTGATATTTATCTCTGCTTGGTTTGGTTCTTCCCAGAAACATGTTACTGGTGGTGGTCCCTATATTCTTCTGGCTTTTGTGGTGAGGAATGTTTCATTTCTAGCTCTTTTCTGATCACATTTTGTCTATCTAGCTGTTTGTCTGTCTGTCTGTCCATCTGTCTGTCTGTAAACTTTTCATATTTTCGACTTCTTCTCTAGAACCCATGGGCCAATTTCAACCAAACTTGCCACAAAGCATCCTTGAGTGAAGGGGATTCAAGTTTGTTCAAATAAAGGGCCACACCCTCATTCAAGGGGAGATAATTGGGAATGAATGTAAATTTGATGGTATGTTTTAAAAATCTTGTTCTCAAGAACCACTGTGCCAGGAAAAATGAAATTTATGGAGAAACATCCTCAGGTAGTGTAGATTTAAATTTGTTCAAATCATGACCACCGGGGGGAGGGCGGAGCCACAATGACTGACCAAAGTTTAACATAAAAATATATATAGGAAAATTCTTTAAAAATCTTCTTCTCAAGAATGACAAAGCCATAATTGATCCTATTTATATGGAAGCATCCCCAGGTAGTGTCGATTCAAGTTTGTTCAATGAAAATGTGAGTCAGATCATAACCCCGGGGTAGGGCGGGGCCACAATGGAAGATCAAAGTTTTACATAGAAATATGAAGGAAAAATCTTTAAAAATCTTCTTCTCAAGAACAGCAAAACCCTGATTGATCATATTTATATGGAAGCATCCTTAGGTAGTGTAGATTCAAGTTTGTTCAAATCATGTCCTCGGGGGTAGGACGGGGCCACAAAGGATGATCAAATTTTATATAGGAAAATTCTTTAAAAATAACCTTCTCAAGAAAAGCAAAGCCATGATTGGTCAAGGGACTACTTTTGGATTTAAACTTTTCAATAAAAAACCAATTTTTACTTTTTCCTAGCCACAGTGCTCAGGTGAGCGATGTGGCCCATGGGCCTCTTTTTTTTTTTTTTTTTTTTTAAAAATGATCAATCATTAAATATAAATAAATCAGTTGTTAAAAAATTTGCTTCATATTTGAAGTGCCTTAAACCGACCCTCTGATGAAAGTGACTAGTGTTTTTTGCACCTTGGAAGGTTTATTGGTAAAAAATAAGAAGGAAGTTATGATTTTGGTGTTACTATTGTTGTTATTTAAGTTTGATTCGATTTTTATATTACGAGTATTATGAAACTGTTATTTTGTTACTGACCGATGGTTAATTTTAATTGTGAACAAATGTACAAAGATGAGGAGTATAATATAGTTGGCTATGTATAATGCCCAATTTTTGAACATACTATGTAATAAATATTAATAACAACCTTTGAATAATTGGAAAGACAATATTATAAATATGATAGCATTTTTGTACATGAGCATACATTTTTGAAAGGAAAAATAAATTATTCAATTGCATTAAAAAAAATATTTTGTTTCATATTCTTGCGAATTATCAGATCATTCTTCAATTATTTAAATACTCTGTCATTATGAAACCTTGTTAATAATTAAGTAAATATTAATTGTACATTTGCACCAATTTTTACATGGCATTTTCACACTAAGAATGCCACGTGCAAAATTATATACAGGAACAATTCTGAACAAATATATGCAAGTGAGTTGTAAATTTGATATGTAATGCATACATTACAAAAACCCATGACAGGGTTCACTAAAATGAATTGTATGGACTCTTATATAAATACTTGGTATATGTGATATGGATATTATGGATGATATTTTTGAGAATGACACAAGTAATGAAATTTTTCAGCATTGAATTGGATTCTTGAACCAGAGCCATGTGAACCTGGTCCACCTGTACCTCTCATTGAAGACCTGTTAACATCACCAGAGTATGTTCATTCTGATACCCCTATGGTATGGTTACAGCATGCATTATCCCTGAATCCATTAAAAGAGCTGCATTGGCAATGAAACAACCCAATGTGGTCAATTGTAAGGAAATATAGCATATCAGCTTCCAACTTTGGTGCAGTTCTCAGTTCTAAGTAAAGGCGATTAAATTTTTGCGAAATAGACTTTTAAAATTACAGTCAAACTTTGTTATCTCAAACCCATTATCTCATATTTCATGGATATGTCAAAGTAATTTTGAAGTCCAAACCATTTATAAAAGACTGGGACATTTTATTCTTGATAACTCTTTATGTATTATTCTTGAATCCACGGATATTTCCAATATTTTTCTTGGTCTCATTGAGTTTGAGATAATGAGGTTCGACTGTAATGACTAGATATTTGTACATAAAGATGCAGGAAATATAAGATTAATAACCAAAAATCATATTTTCTTCTCCAGATTGACATTGTCACTGAAGAAACAGCTGATGTCGGCTTACAATCTGGAGTCCATCAAGGCTGTTGCATGGGGTATCACTCATGAAGATGATGCTTTGAGAAAGTATGAAAAGGACTTTGATGCAGCTGTAGAGCAGTCAGGTATACAGCACAAAATAACATTCATTCAACCTCTGACATGTTAACATTCAATGTGTCAAAACAAATAACAGGACTTATCCTGGTAAAAAAACAGAAATCAATTACTGAAGTCTAATTGTAAAAAAAAAACTAGAAATATGTCCATAGGACATGAATGCCCCGCCGAGGATATATTAGTAAAGCAACATGAAATTTGTACATGCATAAAATTTGATCAGTTTGGTTCAGGCAGGGCTTATAGTTAGTTGGGAATAAAAATGTAGGTCCAGCATCCAAAGCAAGTCTGGTAGTGTCCATCCCTAGATGCATCATCCATGCAAGTTTGGTTCAGGTAGGGTTTATAGTTACTTGGGAATGAAAATATAGGTCAGATCCAGCATCCGAAGCAAGTCTGGTAGTGTCCATCCCTAGCTGCATCATCCATGCAAGTTTGGTTTAGGTAGGGCTTATAGTTACTTGGGAATGAAAATGTGAGTCAGATCCAGCATCCGCAGCAAGTCTGGTAGTGTCCATCCCTAGATGCATCATCCATGCAAGTTTGGTCTAAGCAGGGCTGATAGTTCCTTAGGAATAAATCTGCTCCAAAAACATCAACCTGGTCACTCATCTGGAAAATGTAGGTCAGATCCAGCATCCGAAGCAAGTCTGGTAGTGTCCATCCTTAGATGCATCATCCAAGCAAGTTTGGTCTAAGTAGGGCTTATAGTTTCTTAGGAACGGACCTGCTCCAAAAACTTTAATTTGGTCACTCATCTGGAAAATTTAGGTCAGATCCAGCATCCGAAGCAAGTCCGATAGTGTTCATCTCTAGATGCATCATCTATGCAAGTTTGTATCAACATGTAAAGTTTGATAACACCATCTTGAATGGTATGTTTAAAACAGAGCTAAACACTATTTAAGAAAAGTCAGGTCAAGGTCAAAGGAAAGGTCAAGGTCAAAAAATGTTGATGCAGTTGCATAGCTCTCATCAATATCTATCAGCATATGAAGTTTGATGAAAATATCTTGGATAGTTTCTTTGAAACTTAGCTTTGAACAGAGCTAAACACAAAGTGGGACGGAAGGACAGAAGGACGGAAGACGGACATGACAAACACTTTATGCCCCGGCCATATTCATGGCGGGGTATAAATATTCAGTTACCAACATATTCCAGAAAAGGAGTTTTCCACTTAAGTATAGTAGCTTGGTCCCTTTTTTTGCCCGTATTTTACAGAAAATACTTGATTTGAAAGTTTAAAATTTGACGAGTAACCGGGGACCACAGATAATGCCTTATTGAGACTTCTTCTTTGCTTTTTGAAGTAGAAGGATTATAAAAGCTCTACTTAGACTTTGTTTGCATTACCAAATCAATTGTATTATGGTTTGTTTGCATTCAGTAGTATTATAATTTTTTCTGGAAAGGATATGGTTGCATGAATCCGGAGTGTTGGGAGCTTCACCTGATGGCTTAGTTGTTCGACCACCAACATGCAGTGTATTTTATCAAACTCCAGAAGCCAAAGACGCCATTCCTGATATTGTAGAGGTGAAGTGTCCATATACAGCATCGTCTTCAACAGTAGCAGATGGGGCACAAAATTTGAAGGATTTTTCATAGGTAAATAACATTAAAAATCTGTATTGTCCAGTACTTTGAAATTAAAAATCTTGGTGAGTAAATGATTTCAAAACATGTATTAATTTACAAGTGCAGCTGTTCAATATGGTATGAAGATATTGAAAAAGGAGGGGATATGTACTGGTATAACACAACTTAAGTGTTTTTTGATTTTTTTTTAGATCTTAAACAAGATACCCTGTGCCTGAAAACCAGTCACCCATACTATCATCAAATTCAAGGCCAGCTACACATATGTAACAAAACATTCTGCAACTTAATTGTGTGGACAAGAGTAGACTGCATTGTGATTAGAATAGTAAAAGACATTGAATGGACAGCAAATGTTCCAAAGCTGATAGATTTCTACATTAACATTTTCATTCCAGCACTGATGGAAAACTGAGTTCTGGTTTGAACTTCTTGACACTTAGTTTTGTACCTCTAGAATTTTCTAACAATGGAAAATGGGTAATCGTGTTAAATGTGTTGAATGTTCCCAAGTCTCATAAATGTATGATATGATATGTCACAATCCAATGAATCCATCATAAAACTTCTGGCTTATAAGACTATTTTAAATAGCAATGATGATTAATAAAATCTATGTACTACATAAAAAAAGAATATCAAAATTTAGAATCATTTTATTAATGAATTGAAGATGTTATTCTCAAAGTGAAAATGTAACATTTTTGTCTTTCTTAATAGATAAATTGTTGAAAACATGAATTTGTTGAGTTGTGCTTTAAAGGTAAATATACTTTAAACTAGAAATTTAAAATTATAAGTAAACCCTCTTCCAAATTATATTGTCAAATAAAGAATCGAATTGCCATTGTAATAAATCCATGCTAAACAAAAGGGATTTTCATTTTCTGAAGTACATGTATTACAACATACTACAAAGTTAACAAATATAACCATTGACATTGATAACAAATCAAAATTTGCTTATCCCTTGCACTTTGGTATGAATATCTTCACTGTTTAGTGTATACTGTCACACGCCAATGCAAATTTATAATAAGTACATGTATCTTTAAGTAATTTCTTTCAAAAGTGGAGCTTGCAAGTTTACAAGACAAGAACAGAGTTGAAATATTTTTGTTGAGATTGGTCTGTAAGTAGATGGTATGTGACGGAGAATCTCGTAATTCTTTATCCTCTCGTTGGCTCTTTCCACATGAATAAGTGCTTTAGCAATCTTGTAACACAGTGCTGCTTCTTGTATGGTAAACTGGCCTCGTGTCGATAAAAGAGCTTTTATAATTAAGCAGACACCCTGGGGCAACTGGTCATGAATGGTGAAACCTTTGACCACCAAAATAAGGTCTCCAGCTTTGAACTTTCGTAAAACTTGGCTGTGACGTACAATAGCTACATCAGAAGTAGAACCTGGGTACAGCATGGAGCAAAATGTAAGTGCACCATTTGGAGGCACGCAAGTTACTGCTTTAAAAGTATGGCAACTTTTGTACATACTGTAGGCCATGGCCTGATTATCCATATGTGTTGGGATGTCCTGGGTTGTTTCATTTGCATCCATGGATGCTCTAGCAGAGGAAAAATCCTCAAAAGATTTTGGCAGAGACCCTGAAAAAAAGTTGGAAAAAAATTAATTTGATTATTTGTAATTGTGTAAAAAAAATTGTGTTACAGTCAATCTTTCAAGAATACAATAAATTTAACTGCATTAAATTTTTGCAAGTCATTATGATAAATTTTAAAACAAACCTTTGCATTTAAGCCGACTTGGAAAACATTCTACGCTACATTCTACACTACGCCATCAGACAGCATCTTGTATAGGGAAAAGACCACTAATTATTTTCCCATAGAACTCCATACAAACCTTAGGCCCTCTCAGTACTTTACTATGACAATTTCAGATAAATCTTTAGCATCATTTCAAACTTTGTTCTAAGCCCTAACAAAAAATACTGAAAAAAATATATGGTCCCATGGCGTTTATAAGTCAAAATTGCAGTTATTTTCAACTTATAGAGATTCGCAGTAAATAACACGCGGCATAAAAAATTAACCCCCACTCCTAAAATCTTCCCTGGCATTTCTATAGTTTCTGTAATATTCCCTCATCCCATCATTTATTTCAAAGGTCATTAATTTTACTTTAAAATGAAAACAATTAAATACCTGATTTCAGCCAATGGCGTAACGCCTACCCATTCAGTATTCGGTTTAATGTTCCATAACAAACAAAGCCATGTGTGCATCCGGGGATTTGGTGCTCTCATTCCTATACTTACATGTACATACTTACCTGTCCCAGAATTAGTCAATTGTGGTAATTTCAAAGACTATACACCTACCTGTGAACATGTATGAAATTAGAGTCCTGTGACTTCAGTGTATTGGATACTGTGACCATCTCAAATGATGACACCTTACTGCTACCAGCACAATTCAAAGGAGTGAATGACGTCTGGGCCGGTGATGATATTTGGATATATTGGTGACTGTAATAAATAAAATATTTGTACAATGAATTGTTTTTGTGCTTTGATGTTAATAAAGTGATATTAAGTCAAAATTGAGTCAATAATTTCATAAGGGTGGATTCTACCCAGAATTAGGTAAAAAGCTCCAAAATTGGATAAATCATAGTTAATTAAGCAAAATTCAAAGGTTTTAAAAAGACTGATATAGAATTTTTTTATGCTTATGCAAAGTATATTTTTTAAGACTCTGATATACTAATTGATTCTTATCTAATCCCTCCTATTGCTTAAGTATGTACAAAAAAGTTTCCCCACCCCCCAGTGAAAAACACTTAAAGAAATAGCAGGTGCCCCCTTTTATTTTTGTTTACAATTAATTTAGACAAGTTTAAATCAATCCTTTTGATAACAAATCAAAGTTCAATGTCTGTAGTCTTATTACAATCAGAAGCTACTTTTTGAATTTTATTCTAAGAAAAGGAGAATTTAAATAATTTTTTTTAAAAATTAAAGAAAAGCTAAAACTGAACCCAAAATGTACTTTACAATAAGAGGCTGGAAAGTTAATAAATAAAATTTTTACCTGCAATGTACAGAAAACTGTCCGACAAAATACATCGGGTGGGTAGGGAGTCTCCATTTTCTTCTTAATATATAGAGAAAATGCCCCTGCTGATCAGAGACCTAAACTCCCAAATAATAACAAAATATGTTAACATAACAGTCAATCTAAGATGTTCATCCCTCAATGGCAACAAGTTTTTATTACAGTAACTGAAATTTTTAGGAAATAGGAAATCACAATTGGAATTCCTTTAAATGTACCTTCTCTTCGTTGTATTTAATATCGTGGATTGATATTGGCTTCCTTTTACTAGACTCTATTTTTAGGGCAAGCAATTCCTTTTCCAGTTGTATTTCTGTTGAGAGGCGCTGCATTTCTTGAGTACAGTTAAATGTGCAGGATGCTGAGTAGTTGTGCTCTGATATCAACTGAAAATATATTGTAAATCATGTACAGTTAAAAGAACTTTATATATTATTAAAAATTATTGAAAATGTTTCAGTGTTGGTCATTTGTCATCATTGATGTTTTAAATGAGCTTTACTTTTTCTTGATATTGACATTTTGGTGCTTGTGGAATCTGCAACTGGTCCATCTGTGAAGATGACAGGGACTCCTCACTTTTGAGTTTTTTCCTCCTTTGTAAAATAATTAAACTTGAATTATTTTTTATTCAGTTGTAAGCTACTCTGTTTATACAATTACATGTACCCTTTTAAAGATTTTTAG